TCTGACATACTCCCATTTGTCTCAATGGAAAAAAATGTTCTTTAACTTCAGCTGAAATACACCATGGGCCCATTCACTCTTACTGTTAAGAATTTCATGACTTGTAAGGAGTTAGCTAATAATTAGGAAGGGAATACTCTCATGACACCTACAAATCTTTCTTCAGCTCCTTTCCTTTTCCTTACGCTGTGTCAGGCTTTTAATTTTTTTTGCAGAAATGTGAACTACTGCTTTATAAAATCTCAAACAAGCACAACACCCATTCTCAAGCAAATAACTATAACAGCTCAAACAATTCACCTTTAGGCAATTTTAATGGCTGCTCTGCTTATTATACTGTACACTTGGTGCTTACAGCCTTGAAAAAGATGCTAGGTGCAGTCCAATAATATTTTTTTTGCCATTACAAAGGCAGATCTTCTGGCCAGCTCCTGAAGCACTTTTCTTCCTGACTTCAGCGGGAGCTCTGCGCGAGACAAGACTGCAGCAGGTTCAAACATACACAGCAACATACACAGCCCAGAAGGGACCTTGGTCCCCGAAACCCTGATCAGTAACAGTCCCTTACCGTAAACCTTTTGATGTAATCAGAAACACAAAATCCTCCCATGCTCAAACGCAGGGATCTGTGTAGTGAAGATTCTTGATATAAAGTTCCCATTTTTTGGCTCCTGTTGCAGTCACCCAGGGAGCCCAAAGCTTTTGCTGAATTACACAGCAAAGCTCCGGTGGATCTTGCTAGAATCCTGCTTATGTGATAAACTAGGCATTTCATCTTATCTGCCACTACAGCAGGCATTTCAATCATTTCACTTCCTTATCGCTAGTACCAAGTTCTATCTGTATCCCTGCAGCTCACTTCCTGAATTGCTGATAAGAGCTACTGTAAGGCATGGAAACAAACTTATCAGAAGGTGATGGCCCAACCACTGAAGAGTCCCCTCTTTGTAATTCTCTGAATGTTACTTGGCTCCTTATTTTTGCTTAGTTTAACTTTTTGTTGCTGTATTTCAGGAGCACAGTTAGATTCCACCAGCTGGTTCATTGTAGTGCTGCTCCCACAGTCAGTTATATATGATACTGCAACAAAGTTTTCATTTGACCTTAATCACATGAGCATTTTGCTCTCAAAGGTCAGTGGGCAATATCATAGCAAGGGAGAAGGGTCAGTGGACAGTCTCAAAGAATCCTCCTGTTTTGGTACTTTAACACCTGAGCGCTCAAGAGCATTCATTTGCATCTGCAAATTTATTTATAGGCAAGCTATTCAAAAGACAGTCCCGGTTGTTTGCATTTGTAAAGCAAATCTCTAGGTGACGTGAGCATGCATGACAACAAATGCTGTACCTGCAGAACTGGAGGCCAAGGAAGGCTCTTCTAACCATTTTCTACAGCTATGTTTTAAATAGCAAGCACGTTTTAAGTTATTAAGCAGATTAACCGAACCAAGACTCAATGCTCCTTCTCAAATTAAGTGTCCTCCAATAAATCACTCCTTATTGTGTCCAAGTAAAAATTAAACTAGTTTTTAGATTGTGGTACTGTGAAGTAAGGACTATGCGTGTCCATGTTTCTAATGTAATGGACCCCATAACACTACATGACCTAAGAAACAAGCAAGTCTGATGGAAGTAGCAAATCCCCCTGCAATTGTGTGGTTGCTTCATTTTTCTCTTGTGAATGCAACAGGTTTAGTAAACAATTGTTTTCGTCCCTAGTAAGCAACTAACCCTGCTTGGCTACTACAGTCCTGAGTGCATTAAAAGAAATTAGTGGGATTACACTGAGGAAGAGTAAAGTTAGATCCAGGTTCTCACCCGACACTTCATTAATGGCAGTGACTTCAGCGGAGATGCACAGATGTCAAGGAAGGTGGTGTTTAGAATCAGCACAGGCTATTTCTTCACTGACAAAAGTGCATTTTTTAACCACAGGATAACAAATATATGTTTGTTACAGCTGCCCCCCTGTAAAAACTAAATGGAGAACAGGCACTGAAGTTGTCTTGTGAACTGGAAGTATCAGTCACACTCCTGAGGAATCTCTTAAGTTCTCTCACAATAAACACAAGAGCCGGCCTCCAGTTAGGCAGGCAAGGCTCTTTGGGTAGATGCAATCTCTTTTATTAAACCAACTGAGTAGGTGGAACAAAGTTCTTTGCAAGCTTTTGAGCACAATTACCCTTCTTCAGGCATAGGAAGTCACCTGAAGAAGGGCGATTGCGCCCAAAAGCTTGTGAAGAACTTGCTTGCAACTACTCGGTCTAATAAAAGATTTCAGATTTACCCAAAGAACCTTGCCTGCCTATGTCCTTAGACCATCATGGCTACAACCAAAAACCCATGCCTCCACTTAGGTTTTTATAGCAAGGTAATTACTTTACTGATTCTCGCCCTCCCATGAGGACAATAAATTATTTTTGGATCAATGCAGACAGTCAGAGAACTGCAGGGCAAGGAGAGGATTGGATTGTCACGGTTAAAACAATGGAACGGACTAGTCTAGGGTACGCAGCATGCCAAAAGCATCTGCTCTAACCCAGAAGGCGCAATTTTCAGTTGTGTTCAGCAAGTGACATTTGAGACATGGGTAAAAGACCTAGAAGAGATCTGTTGGGAGAAGAAGCTGCTGGGGCTTAGGAAGGCACAATAGAAGTTATCGGGGTTGAAGAACATCTGCTGGGCAGTGGGGAGCGTTTGTAGTATAGTACCCTGGCTTGTGACCCAGACAGTCTGCTCCTGGATAAAACACAGGCTCTGAATGCCAGAAAGTCTCAGCTCTATCCCTGATCTATCGACTTCCTGTGTGATTCTGTATTTAAGCTCTGTGCCTTATTTCTCCAGCTGTAAGACTGAGTTGCCAATACCTCCCCTTCTCATATGAGGCTTTGCAAAACTTTTCAGAGCCTATGATTTAGTGCCTGTTATTGTTATTACCAATATTATTAAAGATGGGGCCAAATTAGCATCTCAGGCCCCAGGCATCCCTCAAGTCTAGGAAGGTCACAATCCAAAGCTGGACCTGGTCTTTATCTCCTGAGCATCCACAACCAAGAATGGGCTCCTGAATCATCCTGCCTGAACAGGGGGAAAAGATCCAAAGGGTTCTGAGGTAACACCCTCAGCAGCAACCCTTACGTCTCCTCGCGTGAAAGACAAGGCACACTGACCTGTCCCAAATGCCTGCTGCCAAACCACAGCATACCACACCCCTGCCCCACCTGAAAGTATCACTGACTGCAATAGAAATCACATGGGGCTAAAAAAGGCCTGAGAGGGCATCCCTGCCCTAGGACAGAATTTAGCTGAACGCCCCATAACTAACAGGAACAGTAGGCATGTCATGAGTGACTCATTCTTCTATGGGGTAGCAAGACAGGAGAAGAAGGTCTTTGGCACTCTTTCCAAAGTATTTCAGCACAGAAAGGCCAGGGCATTGCACAGAAGACTGGGTGTGATTTATGGAGTCACAAATGATAGACACAATAGAAGTTAAAATGCAACCAATTCCAAGCAGGTACAAACAAGCGCATTGTTATTCTGTATTTCAGAAAAAAATATATATTACTTAATGCAGCAGCAAAACCATGTACAGCATGAAAGTGTCAAGCCAAATGGAAGATCTTGCATGACAGAGAGAATCCTTTAGGAAATTTGGCAGACAGTCTGGAACAAGCAATGCTCAGCTTGCAACCTTCCATTAGCAGATCTAAATACAGAACTGTAGTGTAAAACAACACCTCACTGCAGTGCTTCCACTAATTATTATTGAGAATATAATTATTGGGGATGATCAGATCCACTTTTTCCTAATTAACCTTTGTAAAGATTCAACATGAAGCTATTTTGTCTTTTTGGCTTCTTTAGTTCAGACTCTAAGCTGTGTTACAGAGGAGTGTATAAAGCAACTAACAACGTATGATTTACTGCAGAAGATAACAAATCCCCCACTTCTGCTTGCTGAGCAATACTTTATTGCATTCAATCAGAAAATAGGACAATGCACACGGGACCAAAATTTCCTCGGCTACACCTACATAAATCCAGATGAACCATCTAATGTAAGTAAAAGCAGAATTCAGTCCACAATATCAAAACAGATATTTATACCGTCTATTATATGCAATACCTCAGTTGAAATATTTTGTTCCATGTGCAGCCAAATGTTAATTACTTGTAGAATAAAAGCAAACTATTGAATAACAGAAGTGGAGTGAAATGCTGGTAGTATTGTGTGTGCACCCTGCTACCATGTGAACCATGCAAATGCAAATGACAAAGCCAAGCCAAGTAACTTCAAAACCAGGAAAAGTCTTTAACATTCAGAAATGCACGTTGAGTCTGCTACCTCAGATTCTAAAATTAATTTCTCCTGAACAAGGTTTTTTTCCTCTGAACATGGTTTTGTTTTGCTTTCATTACTGCCACAAATCATTTAGGCATGAGAAGATGTTGACCAACTAGCCTAGGACATGCAGAATGAAAACTAACAGAAGACAAAAAGGTCTATTAAGAAGTCATTAATCATGCATTATTTTTCGGACCAGATGTGAACAAGTTATCAGCACCTTCACTTACTTCCACTAAATGACCATAAGAAGTGAAAGAGTTCAGTGCTTTGCCGGAGAAACTTCCTCAACCCTAGGATCAGGCCCCAAGATCAGCCAGCAATATGCTCGCAGTGCTCTACAGGCACAGCAAAGTGACAGTACCAGTATTTTAAGGAATTTACAATCCAAACATCATTCTTTAGCTGCAGGTTTTAGTTCACAGTATAATTTAGAACAGAGGATATTACTTTCCAGAAAACAAATGCAGACCCGCTCTCACACACACGTGCATGCTCTTAAGTACTGTACATCTTCAAAGGCTTCAGAATAAACTTAATACATTAACAAACTGTGACAGGGACCAAGGCAGCTTGCTGTTCCTTTCCCAAAATCTTTAATCAGTTACCACAAGCTCCTACCAAAGCAACTTCCCAGTTGTTCCAGTACTTACCCTTTCATTTTGCTTCCATCCATGTAACAAATTAGAGTTGGATACCAACATACAGCAGTGTTGTAGGGACTGACCCAAGGAAATGCAAATGGACACTGCAAACAAGGCACTGTCACCAGAAAATAATTTTTTTAAAGTCCCCCTTCAGCTTTTGATCAGGATAAGTAGTCAGGGGTTTGTGAGGAGTTGTGCAGATGAGGCATCCTCTAGAAACAAGCAATTTCTGGATGTCAGTGTCTCACTATGAGCATATATCTATAGTTGCTTCACTCAGAATGGATTAATGTAAAGGTCAGGTTCAAGGGTCAGCCCCCTCCCCCACCCCTCCACTGCCATCTAATTAACTAACATTCATTTTATAGCCTTGACCCCTTTTTGCAGTAGAAAACATTCCCAAAGTCAAAGGAGTGCATCTTAAATTATATTTCATTTATAAACCCGTGTTAGCTCATCCTCACTGTATGTTTCAGAAAAAGAATATTAGCAATGACAGTATTAGTCAGGCTACTTCTATTTAAGAGACCAGACAAATATTAGGCCAAACTCACCCTGCTATAACTCCATTAGTTTACACAGATTATCTCCATGGGTTAATTTGCATGTAAACTACTAATACAAGTATAAATATGAGTAGATTTTTTTTTAAATTCTGCCCTGCTGTGCCTGCCAGAATTGCTGGGCATTGTACCTGCCAGCTGAGTTAGCAAGAAAAAAATCTCGCCTAGCTAGCAAAAATATAACAACTCCTTGCAAGCTTGATAGCCACAAGAGCAGATTAAAAGTAATATTAAGACGAAGTTTTACCTCTCCATGCCTACCTTGCTCCTGTCAAACATGTAATTCTGCATTCAAGTGCACATTATAAAGTTGGTCCTGCCCTCAGGGCCACAAAGGGAGCTCTGCAAGCAGAACTGGCACAAATCCTCAGTGCAAGGATGAAGGGGCAGGATTAGGGAGACCAGGCAAGAGTTGTACACCACTACACAATGCAGAGCCCTCCTCTCCTGAGGGCAACCTTCCTGGCAGCACGCAGAAAACCAACGGCAAGCAAGGTCAAGGGAGGCTGGGGGTGTAACTAGATATTGTGCCAATGCAGATCCCCAGCCCCTCACCCTACAACAAAAACACCTAACAAGATGTAAAGAAGATGGCTCCATAGTGTTTGAAAAGTCAGGTTGGCTGGTTATTTCAGCAGAGGCAATTGCTTTTCAGTCAGGTCATGATTTACAGTAGTTGAAATTTTGTTTAAGCAAAAGTAAAGGTTATTCCCCTTTTTTCCAGTTTTGGTAGGTCCTGTCTCTTCCATGTTAGGGAGAATAGACTGATCAAGTGTTACTAGAAGCACACCTACTTTTAAGATCAGCATGCTGCTAGTACAAGATCAACCCAGCAAACAGTATAGCTTCCCTGAAGAAGAATACAAGCAGCACAACACCTAGGACAAAGAAAGCCCAAGGTTCAAGCCAGAGGCATTACATTAACGAAGGAACTCTTTTATCAAAGAAAGCAAGATGAGAGCAGTTTTGCTCTTTAAAAATCTCCTTTGTTTTTGGGCATACTTACTGAAGCATTACAAGGAGAGAAGCAAAAGGAATTACAGGGACAGAGGCAAGGGGAATAGCCTTTGTCGTCTTAGAATTGACCCTACAACCCAAACACTGATGAGGATCAATTGAGGTCATTTTGTTATTACTTTGAGTAGGGTCTTCCTTTAAACAGGGGCTTGTGTGCTTTCAATAATCTATACAACACAGAATGACTTGGGGGACAGGGGGGCTTTGTTTTTGTTCTGTACTATCTGTGCTGGTTCTCAGATCAGCCAACTACTAGCCAATATCAGAGGATATGTCTACAAAGCAGCTGAGCACTAGTAATCCAAATGGCTTCCACAATCACAATGATTCATTCCCTCCTCACTTGCAGTAACTACCCTAGAAAAATTCTGCCATGTTAATTTGGAAAGAGTTCCAATAATTAGCTCTTAACTTGTGTGTGTGTGTGGGGGGGGGGGTTGCAACCACCTACCTCACAGCACCTTTTAGACAGGACTTCTCTCTCCTTTCAGCTCCTTATGGCCACATTGGGATGTGAGCTTTTACTAGGAAGATGGTCGCTACTTTCTGGCATAACACATATGAAATGAACACACATGTTGATAGCATATAACTTTAAGGGAAGCTTTCTGCTTCCTGTTCACATGGTTAGCTCCACTACTGACTGTTTGTTTTCTAGAATCCAAACTAAGGGTAGTCCTGGCCTGGTTTCTTGTATATTATTAAAACCAACCAAATATAACTAAGCAGCAGCAACCCTACAGCACCTTCTGGTCACAGATCCCAGTGCACTTCTCAGGTATTAGAGAATTAAACCTAGTGCACATCAGGCAAGATGCTTGTTATTTTAAATATCAGGATATCAAAGCACAGAGGTTTTGAATGACACCCCCAAAGTCGCATAGGAAGTACCAGAGTCAGGAAATTAACCCATATTTGCTCCTGCCTTGTGCCACATCCAGGGCTAGGGACAGACATTCAAAAAGCTGGAGCCTGAATTAATTCAAGTTTTGCAGGTTAGTCTAACCTGCCTAGGTTGAACCAGGTTACAAAACAGTCCAGACATTCTTTGTGGACTGAGGAAATGCAGGCACATGCCTACAGTTGCTCAGGCCAGGAATTTAGGGGGGCTAGAGTCCCCCTCAGCTGCAGGTAAGCTGTGCTGGGTGGGGTGTGCCCAGCCTGGGCTGAGCTTGCCAGAGGGGTTTAATTCCTCAATCCCTGTCCCACTGGCAGGGACCCAAGCCAGGTCTGCCAGGCACTCCACCCTCACCGATGCAGGAGCAGGTCGCTATGGCTCCTGAGGCAGAGGGGGCAGGGAGGGGAGTTATTCCCCCCTCCACCCCCAGGGGACCACAGCTGGGTCTGCCTGCCCCATCTGCCACTGTTTGCTTCCTGCCTGAGGCAAGGCAGCAGAATAAGCACCCTCTGCCAGGTGCCAGAACGAGGGGAAACAAGGACCTTCCCAGCAGTATCCCCCGTCATGGTTCCCCCAAGCATAAGCCCCTTCCCAGCAGGGAACCTCCTTTGGGAAACAGAAAATCCAGATCCCTGCTAATTACCAACCTAGCAGCCACACAATTGCTACCTTGCTTTTTCAATGAATGGGTTGCCAAAATGAGAAACTCCCTCTCTCTAGTTGCATGTTCTGCTTTGAACAATACATCTAATTTCACTGGTTCTGCATCTGCACAGGGAAATGTCAACTTCTTTCTTTTTGAGATGGAGTAGGAGGTGGTGTGATCCCCAGAATTATGGCTGGGGATGGTATGAAGTGATTGATTTTAGTATTGCAGGCTCCTGGATAACTACGTAAAAGACAACACCACAGTGCTGTGCTCAGCCTTGCCCCTTGGACATTTTTCTAGCAACATGGGGGTCCTCACTTTGAATAAACTGAGAGAAGTATGGAGAATCCATTTAAATTAAGACAAGGATTTCTGAGCCCACCACTGGTGAGGACCCAGATTCTTGTAAGGGCAGTAATAAGTACTAAATCCAGTAAATAAGTAAGTAAGTTCTTGTAAATAATACAGTATGGTTTTCCACACCACAACCCTCATCAAGATACTATAAACTGGATTCAGCACCTCACTTTACCTGAGCTAACTCAATTCATGCTTCAGGCACACACCACAGTACACAGCAAATGCTACTATGAATTCCTCGGTGGCTGCAAGAGGGTTAACTAGACTTCACCCATTCTGCTTGCTGGGCCATTTTGGCTGCCATTAAAGCACACCATCTCCATGCTTCTAGTCTAACAAAGAAAAATCACCCTCCCCACTTAACACATGCACCTGAA